GGGAAGCTGTCAACCGTGGAAAAATATTCTAACAGTTGTTTGTTGAAATAACATCACCTGTCAACAACTTGCATGCTTAACCGCTGCTAATTGACACCTCTGTGTCCTCAGAGTGCGGCACATCTGGCCTTGGGGTATTTCCTGCAAAGTTGGCCTCGAAACATTCATGCATTTGTGTTATTTGTGCATACGGTATGTTACTATGATGCAAACATGATTTGAACCACATCACAAATTTTGTTTCTATCGGGCAAAAAGACTGTATACTGTACGATCTAGTATGAAACAACTTTATTGCACAACATTTTTTTTTATATTCGAACATCTAATCACAAGACGTGGTGACGGCACACTCAAGTTTTTTTCAACTTATATTAATGCCGTCACCAACACAGGGGACAATACAATACTCATTTTCATCTGCTGAGCGAAGTGAGGAAAGTCGTGTAAAGTGCCTTTCCCAAGGGCACATGATCGGTGGCATGTCAGGACTCGAACCTGGGACTTCTTGATTCCGAGTCAAGCACTCTGCCGCTACGGGGCAAAGGCCACCAAATGGCGCATGCCCAGAGGGCCCAGTCTGAGACCCCTTTGAGTGAGTGCAGCCAAACCAACTGAAAAAGCCTTTTTCTTGGTATGTGTGGATAAATGCTGGCATTTTCCAGCTGGAGAGTTATTTCTATTTCTATTAACTTGAATAAACTGGCTGTTAGGGTTGTTTTGGCTGCTTGGTAGGTTCTAAAACTAATCCCATATTCTTGTCTTTTGGTGGTCTTCAAGGGGGTCAGAGGTCATGCTGCCAGTGTTTGCATTTGCCGGGCCAGGGTATCGCTGGTCAAAAAGTGAAATTTTTGGACTAAATGGACAATTTGGAAGTTGGACTACCCTGTCAATATGTGTTTGCAATAGTTGAACACTCAAGTAGGTGATTGTTGACAGCTCAGTTCTTAGATGTTTTCCATATATTCCAATAGGGGCTGGAATTAGTGGGCTGTGCCCTACGCCACACGATCCCACATTGCACAACAATTGTACAGCGTACAAAGAATGGCATCTAGTGGTACATAGTAACTTCACCTTCATAGGTCTAACCTAACTAACACAACTTCAAGAGTGTGTGGCTAGTATGGAATAGGTATGCAGTTTTACAATCACTGGAGGAATTTCTAATATCTATACAGTCTTTAATATATACCCCTACTTCATCTCATTTTCACGCTGAAAACGGTACCATTAACAGATGAATGATGTTTCGGAACATTAATCTGATGTTATTCCAGCTGAACAGAACAGAAAGGGTTTTTTAATCTACAAATGGCTATTCTAATCTACAAATGGAGGCACACCCAGCCATGTGTAAAATCATTTGCGTGTGACGGAGGCCCACACCCAATATTTGCACACCATGGTTACAATATGAATTATCTTACGCGAGTAGCACGCTACAAATGTAAAAGGATTCCTGTAAAATATTTAAGAATGGTACAGGTGTACGGGGGAAGGGGGGTTCTAGGGGGGATAATTTAGTTTAAAGGCATCTTATGCAATTTGAGGGCGGCAAAACTGAAAATATTCTGAATACATGTAATTATATCTGTAAGATGTTGACACATACTGTCCCACATTAGCACATTTGCAGAAACAAGCCCCAAGATTAGTCCTTTATTTTCTGGTGGTACCCTAAATCAATCCAGGTCCTTCCAGTAACCGTTTTTCGTCAGAATTGTGGGTATCTTTGCTCCATGAATGTCGATATACATTGGGACAGTAGATACATGTAAGTGACTAGGATATTTAAACTTCACTGGATGCCTTTAAAACTGTTTCACTTGAGGTAAGACGACTTAGTTCTTTTGAGAGCAAGACCTTGGACATCTCTGGAGAAAATGACAAGCCCAATTAGTCTGTACTTCAGTCATCGGTCTGTTTCGAACACACCCAAAGAATAACATTACATATCAGTTCTCAGAAATACTAGTGCGTGCGAGGCTCAATGCCCATATCAAAATACAACAACAGTATACAAATATACAAAATTCTTCTGCAACAGTACTGCATATACATGTACATGCGGCATTATTTCGCGGGTGCAGCAGTTCTATTCATGGCATTTCTGACACCAAAAAAGACGGTATCGTATCCATCCATGATCCAGTGCCTATCTAGTTTTTTTTCCGTAAATAATTTCATCAGGTTGGAAGATACTTAGGGTATAGAATTTTCTTCTTACACAACCATAGAGTTTCTCACCTGCTTACGTTTCGATGTCTCAGAGACAGTATGCTTGGGAATTTGGTTTCTCTCGTGAAATACACACCGGGAAACCTATGTGAGGCGGGCGGGCCAGAGCTCTTACGGCCCATAGCTCTTACGGCCCCGACCACGATCAGACTGGATACCAGGCTATCTGAATGCAGGATCTAAGTACGTAACCTTTTAGCTAAATTCCCATGACTTCATTACCTCTAGTTTCTATGTTAACTAAATCCAGTAAACAGACAACGATGCAACATCTTACTCATCTGACATCTCTATATCTTTCAACTATTTTGTTGAGACATATTATGTGTAAGATGGTTACTGAACTATTGGAACGATAAAAATTTCCCTTTTACTTTTCAGTAGGGGAGACACCATTGAAAGGGTTCTCCATTGAAACATATGCTAAATCAGACATGAAAATGGGCATCATATCTCTAGTTTACGAAGTTTTTGTCACACAAACTCACCTTCACGTGTTAGCCAATTTAATAATATTTACCTACAACAAGTTTCGGAAAAAAGTGGACGGCTAGTCTCGAGGTACAGCCTTGTTTATAAGAATCCGTGCACTTTGACCCCATATTCTAGGTCGATACCAAGGCACTAGGCA